GCTTTTCACACCTGATGACGACCGTTTGTGTTATGGTCGAAACGTCGTGAGAATTTTTATTGTTTTATATATATTGTATTATTTTATTGTTTCCCTTCAACGTGACTTTACCGAAAGAGCTAAGAATATGAATTACTGCAGTCACGAAAGCTTTAAATAAAAAAAAAGTTAATATTGGCAAGGTGTCATTTTGTGGATAAAATGTTAAAGTCAGTGTAAGCCCTTGGCCTTGTTTAAGAGGCCAGCAGCGGATGGGAAGAAACTGTTTTTGAGGCGTGAGGTTTTGGTCCTGATGGACCGCAGCCTTCTGCCGGAGGGGAGTAGCTGGAATGCCACCTGCACTGCTGCATTAGTTCGAGCCGAGACCCCAAGGGCGTGCCGCCCGTCATTCGGCACACGATGTCCCAACATTCCACCGCGCATGCTGGGAACCCGTCTCTTTCCAGCTTCTTCAGTGGAACTGAACATTCGGTAGCTGAAGAAGCCGGGAAGAGACTCCACTCTTCATGTTTCACCTCGACAACGCGAGGGCTCTTTCAGGAACTGAATAGTCGGTCGCCGAAGAAGATCCCAGTACGCGGGGGCAAGACATCGGACGTCGTCTGAACGACCCGCACGGACCGACCTGGGAAACGCAATGGAGCCATATGCGCGTGTCTGCGAAAACCGACGCAGCGGCACCGAGGTTTTCTCATGCGTTGGCAGCGGCGGTTTGAAGCCAGGCTGAAGCTTAGCTGCGTCGGCAACATCGGAAGGCTGCCCGTCGTTGCCCGTTAGGGCCTGAGTCACACGTTGCTAGATCTCTTTGACGGCAAGGAGACACGCTAGCCGCAGGGAACGCCTTTTCCCCAATTGAGCTGTAATGAAGCGGCCTCGCGCAGCGTGAACGGACGCCCTTCTCCCGGGTTGGCAATCCGAGCGGCTTGCCAGCTTTGCCGGTAGTTGTTTCACCGCCGTCAACCCGTGGATTTAACCAAGACGCCCGCAGGCTAAATTCAGACGCGGCCGTAAAGTAGCGTGCTGCCCGCATCGCGCTTTCGCGGGCCGTGCGTCATTTTCAAGAGCCAGCCTGCGTGCGGATCACGTACGAGTGTTTAACCTCGCGTACCTCCCCCACCCCCCGCCCCCCCTCTGCCGAAGCCAAGGAGTAAAACCGTACATCGTCTGCAGCCGGGACGGTGGAGACCTAAAATTGTGATTTAAAGTTTTCGTGACTGCAGTGATTCATATTCTTAGCTCTTTCGGTAAAGTCACGTTGAAGGGAAACAATAAAATAATACGAAAGGCGAGGTGGGACTTTGGCTTTCCATCGCGGCCGCGGCTGAGCGCCATGTGCGGCTACGTCAGTTAGGGGGCTGTTGCCGGAGGCGTGTGAAGGCGCCCCCCCCCCCCCGCCCCCACAGCGCGTTTCGTCGCGAACTTGAACGAGCCCGCCGGTAATTCCCAAGGAGCTTTGCGCTTAGTGTCCCCTCGTTCCTTATTCACCTTGTAAAATCTTGCAATTAAGTCTTGAGGGTATATATTATATTCGAAAGGTGTGTTTGCTCAAATATATGTTTTATGATGACATACAATAACATTTAGTGCTTAGAAAATATCCCACGCATTTCTGGGGGAAAGGGCATTCAAACTCCGTGTAGATATGACAGCGAACCAACTTACTGTACTGTCTCTCACGAGCCAAATCGCTCGCCTGAAATGCGCGTCTACAGAACAAGATTTTCACGTGACCCGCCAGCTCAACCTCTAACAAGCTGGGTTAAAGATGCTTGATACCGCATCCAAGGAACGGTGCTCAAATCATATCCACCTCACCGTGGCCCAAAGCCTCTTCCTGAACAAGCTGCGTGCATTTCAATTGAGTTGATTGGTATAAAATATTTATATTGTAATGCATATACCTGGTAACTTCAAAGGCTGACATGCATTCCAGGATTTCAGTCTCGTGTCTATTTGGGGCAAAACTCACACAAACTCAGCTATTCCTCATAAAAAAAACCTGCCCGACGCTTCAAAAGCGGAAGCGGCAGCAATCAACAGCGGGGAGGACTACATAAGTTTTATTGATTAAAATTGCGACTGATATTTTCCAAGTGCCCATAATTACAGTCTGTTTAGGGAAAGCGCCTACGCACAGCTCAGGTCAGACTTTGGAGTGGTGCGTGTGGGAGAGAGACGAGGTTTGAAAGAGTTGCAAAAAATAGATATATTTATCGTGGGTGTGGATGTGTGACTGCTGGAGCTATTAATTACGAGCTGCAGAAACAAATAAACCTCCGGACAGCTTGGGGAGGAAGAGAGGTGCTACCAGCCAGCTTCGTAATTAAACATGATAGCTGAATTTGAGAAAGAACAACACGTTAACTTGCGTGAAAAACGTTATTTTCTTCTTAAATTCTCCCAAGATGTCATTAATCAATTTCATTATTCATATATTGCGCATTGCAACATTCATCACGTGGCCGCGGGAACTTAGTCGTTAGAAGGCTGCGTGGCAGAACGCCTGCACCTACACGCGCGGGTTTGACTCGACGAAAATCTCCGGGTGGTCAAAAATAAGAGTCGGGGTCCAGGGTGCGCAGAATCGGAGCCACCCCAGGGCTCGGGGTGTGGGGTGCTGTGGGTCATTCTCACCCCTACTCCTGCACAAAAGCGACAGGCTCGCCAAGGATTTAAAAAAAAAAACCCGTGGTAGCCAAAAATAAAAAAGTGCCCTCTCAATGCGAGACGATTTGCACAACAAAGACCCCGATTGTTGTGGCCTCTCTGACCCCCCCCCCCGACTCTGCCGCGCTGCCACGTGAGGACATTCCGAGGCTCTCGCCGCCGTGCCGGCCATCGCAGCCGCACCACCCCCCCCCCCCCCCCCGACGTTCACCACCGTCAGCTGGTGAGATTATTCGTTTACGGGGTGAGGGGGAGATATATATATACACAGCCACAACGGGTGTAGAATTGAAAGGCTTTATCTGATTTGTTCTCATATAGAAATCTCTGACCACCACCCACCCCCGGTGTGTTTAAATTGCAGCGCGCGTGTGCGTGCGTGTTTTAGCCAAGCGCGAGTTGACGTGGCCGAGCGCCGTGTCATCCGGCTTCCTACGATCCTGCAATCCTGCAATTAAAGATGGGTAAATAGCTGAAACGAGCGAGGGGAACCAACTGGAACAACAACAACAACAACAAAAACGCGCGATTCAAAATAACTTATCAGCGGACCACCAGCCCTCGGAACGGGATGCTTGAGCGTGCGTGAAGGCGGTCGCGTTATCCTCCGTAAATAACTCATCACCAATTGTCCGGGAAATCGTCTCAGCTGCAAAAATGAAATCCCAAGTGAATGATGTCTCGCGTATTGCTGGGCAATGCCATTGCTTGTAAGGCTGCCACGTCGTTTCAATCCCGCACCCCGCTGTTACCCTCTTTGTCTTTGAAGAGCAAAAAAAAATTTTTTTTTGGGGGGGGGGGGCTCAGATTCTCAGGAGATCTGCTTTGGGCATTATCCTAACAGCATGTCTGGCGTTGCATCATTAGCTGCCATCATGCGCTCTCCCGCGAGTTAATAATTTTTGTTTGAGCTCTTCAGTTAGCATGGACCGCTAGCACTACTGCTTGGCCATAAACGTGTGTGAGTCATAGTTGCAAGATGAATGCAATATTTTATTCAGCAGCAGTAGCCGCTGCTGCAGGTTCCCCCTTGCCCCGCCCCGCCCCCTTTATGTAGGTGTGCACTTGGCATTCACTTGAGTTAATCGCCAATTAGCCACTGAGCCTGTCTTCCCGTTCACTGCAGCCAAGCATGCCTATGCAGAGTGGACCGTGGATGGAGAAAGGTCAGAGCCCATTGAGAAGAGAAGCCACAGCTTGAGGTCCGTGACACCCCGTCCTAGTCCGCATGCGAGAGCCACTCATCACAGGCCCATCAAAAGGTCACGCCAGTTTATCTCCGGACCGCCGCTTGTCGTGTCTTTTCCGTGAAGATAAATAAATCTATCCTTCCCCCACCCACCCCATCCCAGGATAATAATTGCACTCACAGATCGCAGGTGAAGGGCTGGGAGGACATGTATGTATGTTGAACTTATTTCGCACCGTACGTAGCCAACCGTGCTAATCGGAGGTGCGGGGAAGGAAAACAATCTAAACACAAAAAAATGTTCTAAAGAAATGAGTTTTCAATTTGAGACTCGGGGAGAACGAGACATTTGATAGCTTTGGCGGCGTACAATGAGTGGGCCAGGGCATGTGCTGCATTCACCCCGAGCTGCCTCTTGCTTAATCCCGAAATCCCTCACGAACCTCTCCATGTGCCACCGATCAGTCCTTATCTGGCAACGATGAGCAGATGGGCCCCTAGATACAGTTACGGTGGCACCAGGGGGATGCGAGTGAGACACCGGAGCCGAGAAGCGAGAGCATCTGCTCATCTTTGTGGACTGGCAGAAGAAGCGCCACGGAATGATAATGGGAGGCCAGAGGGCAATCTCGCTTTTAAAACCGGGGCTGTGGTGATTATTTTTATCTTTACGTCAAAGGCAAAAAACCTTTTCAGGCCACAGCGCATTTAGCGAATGATCAATGCGGCACGAATAGACGGAGATCGATCATCGACACGAACCGTTAATATCCCGAGAACATTTCCCTCTCCATTCAGAGCGAGACGGGGCCGTCTGTCCGCCTCTTCCCACGAGGCGAGCGACGGGGCCGTCCTTCAATAACGCGTTCCCTTCTTAAACACCGCCGCCGCACCTCGCAGCGGAGTGTGGCTGCGGAGCCCATTTCAAAACAAGAGCCCTCCCGTTCCGCGAACGTGCCCACGTTTGTACGTACACCGTATGTTTGTTGAACTGCTTTCGCATCGTACGCGGGCCGACCGTGCTAATCTGACAGCAACACACTGTGAGCGAGGGGGCAGCAGACGTGGTCGAGCGTGGCGTGGCGTGGTCTGGAGTGGTCTGGCTTGGCGTGGCGGGTAAATTAAACCGGTTCGCCGGCCTCACCAGACGTGTCCCACATGTTGAGCTCGATCCGCTGCTTCTCGATTTCGAAGCTGGCCGTGTAGTTCTCAAACACCGTCGGGATGTAGCCCTGCAGACGGGGGGCGGGGGGGGGGAGGAGATGAGACGTGTGCACAGTAAGCGCGCGTAAAGTTGCCCGCGTGAAAACCTTGCGAGTAAAACCAGGGCAAGAGCGAAAAGTAGTTTCCGTTCGCAAGAGAGGTGGTTGTCAGCTACGGTGCGTGCAGGCGGTGCAACTGCACCCTTAACATCCCCCCCTCCCCCACGGAGGCCCAAAACGCCAGGCAACGAAGAGAAGAGGGGTGGGGAGTTGGACAGGGCACCCCCCCCCCATCTCATGACTTGCACCAGGGCTCATGTCAACCACGCGACACCACTAAACCACTTCGTTTTGCCTTCATTGAACCAACATCAGCAATCCCATCAGAGGGCACATTTAAGCGCGATTAACATCAGCATGACGGGAGAGTCGGGAGGGGGGCTTCTAAGTAGACTTATCTCTTTATACAGAAGGAGGTTAAGGTACATCAGGTTAATTTTCTAACTCAGGCAAATATTCTAACTCTAACGGGGGGGGGGGGGGGGGATAAAAATACACGGGGAGAGAGGGGGGTGCACTAAACCACGTTACACAATAACCGTGATGTACGAAGCTTTGTCAATCCACTGCTGGATGAAGGGCTCCACACGGCCCGTGTGGGTTGTGAGGGCTGTTTGACCAAACGTGACCACGCTGGTCCGTGTGGGTTGGTGTATGGGTTGTGGGGTCGGCGTGGGATTTTGAGGGGTTCCAGGACCAATTCAAGATGTCACGTGGACTGGGAATTGAGCTCGGATCGCCAGGACGGATTCGTGGCTGCAGCGTGCTAACCATCGCCCCACCGCTCCGCCCTCATTAAGCATAGTAATTGCTTAATAATGCGTCTTTTGTCATCCGGGATATTCTGAGTGCCAAGACTATATCGTCGTGGGGTCCTATTTATAATGTTCTGGTAATCCCCGATCGAGTAGTTTCGAAGGCCGTATTTTTATATTTTTATAAATTATAAGTGACTTGAAAAAGGGTCAAAAGCTACCGCGACCCCTAATCATGGTAGTTATTACATTTCCGATTCAATATTATTATACGGTCCATTAGGCTGGCCAATTTAAACCCGTCAGCTTAAATAAGAATAACGCTCTTAATGGCCTTAATTGCAGGGATATTTTTTTTAGTTGTTGCACAATTTGTTTAAGAGCAGATTATTAAGTAATTAAGAGCTAACAGCTGCTGTCTAAACATGGCGCGCACACAATTTCCTCTTCCGTGCCATTTCAAAAAGAGCAAGCGGTGAGTGAGTGCCACAGGGCATCTGCGCGGCATAAGTTCGAGCCCACGACTATAATTCTATCGCAGCAATCGCTGCGCAGAGCGTTGAAATTGTGTGGCCATGCATCCCAAACGATGGACCGTGGAGTAAATCCACTGTCGTCTGCGCTCCTCCGACGAGAGAGAAGAAATGGCAAAAGCACGCGAACTCTCTCTTAAAGCCCTCTCGTCGTGGCGAGCTAACCTCGACATTGGCATCTGTAGCTCCTTAACCCATTGTTAAAACTATGTTTTTTAAAATTTTACCTGATAAGGCCCACTGAGCTATATAGCTCTTTTCCAGAAGCGAACTGGTCACAATTGATAGCCCAATGAAGTGGCTTACGGCAGCCATATATACTTGAACGCATATTGCTTCTAAATGTGGAGGGGAAAAAATCCACGCGACCACGGGGAGAGAGGCATGCAAACTCCAAATATACAATAGGCGTCAGGGTCGGGATCGAACCCACGACCTCCTGTATACCAGGCGAGGTAGTTAACAGCTCACCACCGCCGCGCCACACGCAAGAATAAAAATCGAATATGCCCGCAAGTCCGCTTTGCATACATGGCGTCTTATTAAGAAGCCCAACAAATGTGACACAGCTACAGGAATGATGGCACGAAGATAACGAGCCTGAGAGAGGGAGGGCGGTCCGCCGTGAAGATGCGGCCATGAATATCAGCTCAGCTCAAGGTGGGCAGCTGTTAACGTCGCCAGAGGTAAGGACGACGGCTTTTAACGAATCGGGGGTGGATGACTCATCCAAAGTCAGGTGAAAGTGATTTCCAGCTCAAAAATGAGCACTGAGGCGGCGATCATCAGGACGTTCGACATCTCTCCGGCGGGTGTGGGACATTCTATCCGTAGAAAACAACCACCGTTGACTTCTACCACAAAGTGGCACCTATTTTATCGCCCGCGGACGGGTGATGGTCCGAGTTCATTCAGTCCCCTACAGCGGGATTTGAACTCGCAAAAAACCCTCCGTTCGCGAAGCCACTCGCTCCGCCGCCGAGCCATTGCCGACGATGCCGACTACGAAGCCGACGGCGGTGCTGGTGGTGATGAAACAGTACCTCTGGAAAGCAGTCCTTGGCGAAGACGTGCAAGAGGGCCGTCTTGCCGCATTGGCTGTCTCCTATCACCACGACCTTGCAGCGCATCGCCGGACCGTCCATCGTGACTCGGGCTGCCCGAGCGCATGGGATACCCCGTGTCGCGCCGCGCTCACTCGGGCGCGTTCCATGAACCACGCTCGCTGCGCCGCACGGGTTTTAGTGTTGAGTGTGCAGGGGCGGGGATGTGGGGGGGGTGCAAGGGAAGGGGGGGGACGAAGGTGCGAGTTGAAGCTCCACCCAGCGACCAATGTGTCTTCCTCCCCTGCCGATGATGTAATGCAACCGTAGTTTTTTTGTGATAGTCGTACTGCGTTTGGCAGCGGTGCTTAATTACACATTGCAAACCACTGACCACATTCGTCAATAACAATGGGAGACGTTTCGGGGAATAGCCCGTCTGCACAGCAGAGAGATTTCAATGCACATGTTGCTGGAGATTGTGTGCTATTTACTCCCTCGCTGGCAGTCAGAGCAAGAGTGGAGATCGCTCCACAAAATCAGTGCAGGACGGATATATACGTGCAATAGAAGACGTTTCGGGCAATGGCCCTTCTGCACAGGAGAGAGATTGCTAATGCACATTTTTTTTTTTTGCTGGGGCTTGTTGTGTCAATGACTCCCTTTTTGCCGACAGCCGGAGCAACAGTGGAGACCCTTCCAGCGATGAATGCAGGATGAATGATTAATGTCTCCTTTGCTCGAGCACCGGGCGAGCATGCCGGGTGCGATGAATGTTTCAGAGGGAGGTGCATCTCGAAAACAACGGCGCAACAACGCAAGCTGCGACACCAACGGGAGCGGTATCGACGTCAGCAGCGGCGGCGGCAGCAGCAGCAAGCAAGCAAGCGGACGTCACTTGGCGCAACAAACTCGAGATATTACCGCATTCTCTGGAAAGTAAAACAAAAACGCACCCCCCACCTTTTTCCTCCCGTCGATGAAGTTATCTCCATTTATATAAAAGGCAAAGTTGTGATGAAGTGTCTGTTCAAATGTTTAGCGTACTTCCCGACATGCAACTGACTTTAAATTTGCCATGTGGGTACTTTCCAGACTGTACACCATGCAAACATTATTCAAACACACTTGGTTTTTTTTTGGGGGGGGGGGAGCTCAATAATGCATATTTTTTTTGCACGGCAAGTGAGCTGTGACGTCAAATCTGTCACGTGACCCGCGCACGTGGAAGCGTAACGCATTGTAGTGTAGTGTAGTGGTGAGCGCGCTGCGCGGCCACCACCGGTGACAATTATTATAACCGGTCCTGGGCCTCCCCTAGGTCGACTCAGCCTCAAACGAGTAACTGGTGTGTTGTGTGTGAACATCGCCACTGGGGGGACAAAGGCGGTTGGGCGTGTTGAATCCAAGTCCCGGGCGAAGCCGGGTAGTCAAGCTAGTTATAATATATATGCTTTTACACGCCGCATCACCACCACCCAACGTTTGATTTAAAGTACAGGGGGAAAGAGTGCGACCTATACAGCAATCCGGTAAATGCGGTAGCTGGTATCACTGAGCAGAGTGCCGTCCACCAGGCAGCCCTGCAGTACTACCGTATGTTGAACTTCTTTCGCACCGTACGTAGCCCACCGTGGCTGATCGAAGAATGCAGCGTGGTGCACAGGTGTCGCGCAACTAGGCTCAGTGCACCTCAGCGTTTGATCTGGCGAGATGAGTCACATTCAGAGTGATTTGCCCGTGAGTATTGTCACAACAACGGCGTGATGGTGCATAATAGTGGCTGTTATTTACGCAATAAAGCTTCGCTGAGTCTCAAGACTCCTTCTCAGGAGGATTATACATTGGGGACGTTTGATGCAATTCCATTCATGAGTTTGGAATCGCGCGGGAGGGCACTGGGACGCACATCACAGCCCCAAGCCTACAACACCTGGCAAGCGCCGCTCGTCTAGCATCCGCTATTAGGACGCCACTGTAGCTTTGCACTTTTAAATATGATAGATTGAAAATTCATTTCTTTATGAATGCCTGTTGTGTTTAGATTGTTGTCCTTCCCCCGCACCTCCGATTAGCACGGTTGGCTCCCTACGGTACGAAAGAAGTTCAACATACATACAGTGTACATACAAACACCCACGAAGTGCAACACTGCGCGGCTTCCGAGTTGGAACGAGATCGCTCACATGCATTTAGGTTGACCTTTGCATAGACATGTAGCGTAATGAGTAGTATGCATGATACAGCGTCGGGGTCTACCCAGTGGAAATGGTTTTGGTGGAACTCTTCTTATCGGTGACCATATTACCCGTGACTCCTATTATTCGCGGGACCTATTTGAGTCCACGAAAACTCCTGTTATCCTATACCCAATTCTTCCTATCATTCGCGATAGGCCGCAAATTATTTTCACGGATAAATGGAGTAATATCACGGAATGTTCCCTGGCGGAAAATAGCATCTGCGACCTTCGCTTGTACATCACGGGCAGATAAAGAGGAGTCCTATTGTACTGTCTTAACCTAACAAAATAGGAACCCAATCCTTGGTGTGCTATTGCACCTACATTTTAAATCGGACTGTTGGCGTAGATGACAATGATGGGGGTTAGATATGACACAGAATTGTGAGACTTGCGAACCCGTTGGGACTCGAGGTGGCCAGGAGGTTGGCAGGAGTGGAAATAGGTTCATCAACCAATCTGTATGGACCTGTGAGTTTCATCTCCTCCTATGCGTGGGTGTTTTTTTCCCCCGTGTGTAGAATTCCAGCTTCGTCCCAACGGTGCTTCATTTCAGCCAGGAACAGTCCCACCACGCCGTTCCAGGAATTATTTTGGCACACTTTGCTCGGAATATTTTGTCTTTTAATGTTTACAAACCTGTTCCTGGGATTATATGAATATAGGGTATAATATAGTCTGTTTGACCCAGTGGTGGCGGCCTTAAGCAGAATTATGGAAAATATCGAGTGAGAAATGAAGCCCTGCCTCCCATATCTTAAACACTCCTTAATAGAGTAATGTGTCAAAATATTCCAAAGCAGGACCCTCCTCAAAAGGATTCTTGAGACTTAGTAAGTCCTGTCTGGATGAGCAAATTACTCTATTATGATTAAGAGGAGGGTGTTACTTGTGGCATTGCCATCAATTCTCTAAGAGAAGCATTGGCCGTGAAATACGGAGCTTTTCACACATTTGGAATTGATATTTCAATTATTTCTTCACAAAGAGCGCACACAGCCCTGATTTCAATAGAATACATGCTGCAACAGCAACAAACAACATCTTTAACACAAAGCTATTGACATCATCCTTCCTTCGCTAGCTCTGCAGAACCGGCGTGCATTTAGCATTTTAATTGAAAAGTGGCTGATCCAGAAATTGTTTCCTTTCCAATGATGAAATAAAGCCTTTTTTTTTTACAAAACTTTTGTTCAGGTTTTGTAACTCCTCTATTCAGCAACAGAAAAAAAAACCGTGCGTTTACATGACAGCAGTCTGGCCGTGTGTCTGGCGGCTCAAAATCACCCAGCCACGTGTTTGTGTGCATTGTGCGTCTGTGCTGTTACATAAACAAGCGACGGCAAAGGTGCTACCCTGCAATTACTTCAGAATCCGAATATTTTTTTAATACTGGAGGAATCCGATTAGCTATTAAGATCTTTTTAAATTTACTAAACTAAGAAGCTATTTTTAATTTACCAGGTAAGGCCCACTGAGCTATATAGCTCTTTTCCAGAAGCGACCTGGCCACAAATGATAGCGCAAGGAAGTGGCTTATCACGTGTAAATGTACAGCAGCCAAACACTCTAAATGCAAGTTTCTAAATGGAAGGAAAAAACCGGAGAAACCCGGCAAAAAAATCCACGCGACCACGGGGAGAGAGACACGCAAACTCCAAATATACAGCAGCAGTCATCAGGGTAGGGATGGAACCCACGATCTCCTGCATACCAGGCGAGGGAGTTAACATCTCGCGACAACAGCACTGCTGGCTCCACCAGAGGGACCTCACGAAAGCCCCTCCAGAGGGTGTCTTGGCCTCTACTCGGAAGAGGTTCGAGTACCCACACTTTACCTCACCGAATGCGACCTGTCGATCGACTCAATGTGGTCCATTCGACTGCTGGATGGCCAGAGATGGGGGGGGGATTTAAGGAACATGCCACGTGTAGGAGTTCAGATCGAACTGGCGACCTCTGGGTTGCAAGGTCGTTGTGCCAACCAGTACACCATGGCAGCATTTATCGGTGTTAATGTAACTGTACAAATGTCACGTGTGATTGAGAACTCAATTTACCCACCAGCCTCACTTAGCAAGCCTATTTAAGGCAGTCACTCTCTAAAGCTTTATATTTGCTGTAGTAGGGAAGTCAGCCAAAGTATCAACATCTTGCCCCTTGGTGGCAAAACATATAAAGTTAAACATATATAAATTATTCTGCTATTTCATAACACACTGTAAATTATTTTATTTAAGTTTGTCATTTCAATAAATATATGCAGGAGTGGTGGTTCTGTGGTTAGCACACTGCATTACGAACCCGGCTACCCGAGTCTTCGATTCCCGGCCAGAGGCGAGTGTTGGTGTCTGAACCCACACTGACCAGAGTGGTGAAGTATGGTCAATCAACCCTCCATGACATGACGTAAGGAAGCCTCAATGTAGCACTTGATTGACAATGGGCTGTTTTTTTTATTACTGTAATTGGAAAATAACATTAAGGTATTGTAAGAGCTATTTCTTTCTTTTTGTATGCACATAATTGTTAACCCTTTCCTCGATTGTCATTTGAATGTGGGGGTTCTTGATGCTCCTGCATGGAAAACAGTGCAGGACCATGTGACCTAGTGGTTATCTGCGTTCCATTCAACACAAAAAGGGGGGGGGGGGGTTAATATAGCAAAGGCTAAATGCGACCTCATTTCCAAGATGCCGAGCGTACACAGTGGGCATATTTTATTGTGTCAAAAGAAAGAGGCAGCCAGTCATGAGCAGAGGGACAAAGGGAGGGTCTTGAGTCTGAAACTCAAACGGCGTGTGGCGGAGAGTCGACAGCACAGACAGCAGGGGGGCAAGGGAGTTCCAGACAGTGGGGACAGTAGGGGAGAAGAAGCGATCTCCCAGTGAGCTAAGGTTGACTGGAGACTTCAACAGAAAGCCTTCGTTGGTGGGGTGGGGAGTGCGTGGAGGGGAGTAGAGGGAGATGAGAGGCGGAGTGATAAGAATTCGTGGAG